GTCACACCTCATGCCGGGATCCCAATACTATTACTAATAACAACATGTTTCCACATCTCATCTTTCTAGATGGATGTCAGCCCTTTGTGGACATGTGTCATATCTGTCTGAGTCTTTCCAAAGGCCCATTTCCAATGTCTAACCTTGAATAAACTCTCAACAAATGTTTGCTAACCCATGAATGGCTAATGGATGGATGGGTGGGTGGGTGGGTGGATGGATGGATGGATGGATGGATTCACACCTAATGACAGAGAGTTAAAGGCTTTTTAAATTTGGAAACACACATCAGTCACCTGTCCACTAGGAGCACAGAGCACTTGAACGATATATGCAAGTGATTCACTCAGGGGGTAAACCCGAAGATATGCCCGTCATTTTTTCAATTACTCGTTTCTTCTTGAAATAAAATTCTCCTCTTTCACGTCACTGCTCTGTGTCCCGGGAAATCGCGGGGCTGACGTTTGGGGCACGGGCACCATGCCGTTGGGCTGGGTCAGCCCACACAGGAACACCATTGTCGAAACACGTTTTTCTCAGAACATGGGCAGCAGCAGACCGCTTGCGCCGGAATTCCCTGGGGTGCTCTCTGACGCCCTAAACCACAACCCGAAAGCCGAGAGCCCGGGCGTCTAAATTTTAAACCAACTCTCCAGCGTGGAGAGCCCGAGCCAGAAGCTCAGTGGTGTGTGCTGTGGGAAAATGACCGGTTGGGCTCCATCTATGGGGATTCGGTATTTGTTCTAGAAAATAACTTGCACACTCACAAGGTCAAAGCTAGCAGCAGCCACCACGCAAGGGCACCCCGGGAGCCAGGCCCCCTGTAAACGGACTGCACGCATTTTCTTGCTGAGACATCACTACCAGAGGTGGCGCCATCAAGCCTATTTTACAGACGGGAACACGGAGGCTCCCTGGAGTCAAGTGACTCGCAGAAGTGGCACGCAAAGACTGACTCCTGACCCCAGGCTCTTCCCCATGTGATAACAGTGCCACTGACTCAGAAGCCAAGGAAGTGATGGGAGGAGGAGGAAAGGTCTAATTTCAGTGCCGCATCGAAGCAGAACAGAGGGGGGAAAAGACAGCTCCTGAGTGGTAAGAGGGTGCAGGATGCCTGGGAGCCTTGTAGACAGGCCCCGCTCAGGAAGGGCTTTCTCCTACCCCCTCTGCCTCCAGGCCTCCGCCTACGGACTGGAGAGGGCGTCCGGTAGGATTCCGTGGGGGCGTCAGACAGACCCAGGCTGGCTTGAAATGATAGGAGTTGGGCTTTGTAGAGACAGAGGGCTGGGGCTCCTGACTCTAAGTTCAGGGTGCTAAAGGGGTGCAGGGAAGGAGTAAGGACTGTCTTTCCAGGCCAGACGGTCTAACAACACCTCCCCACCTTGCAGCTCCCACTTTTAGAGGAAATCTACACCCTTGCTCCTGTCCCTGGCTGTGATGCACTGAATCTCGCACCTCTGTCTGGGTGGTGATAATTAAATATTATTCGCCTGTCACTGGATGCACATGTTGTGTGTATTCTCAGACTTTAATGAGCTGGTATTTGTCTTCTGTAAGCAGAAATATTTCTTTGAGTCTCTTCTTTTTCAAATTGGGGTGAGCAGTTCACTTGAAGATCTCTCCCTGTTAAAAAGGCGGTCTGCTCGCCGGCACGCCTGTCCGAACCCTTCCTTCTCCCTCGGGCCACGGCGGGTACAGCCTGGCCCTCCAGAAGCGGCCCGGCTGCCTGAGGTTAGGCTTGTGGTCACCTGCCGGGGGTGTTGGGAGACCGAAGGGGACGGGAGTAAGGAGGCAGGGAAGCGGCATTGTTTCCGTGGGATATTCCAAAGCAGCATTGCTAACCGGGTTTCTCGTCTAAGCACCGCAGCCCACTGAAAACGTCTGAGTGGAAAATCTCCCAAGCCGTCCAAGGACGGTACTTAGCTGGTGCCATTCCAGATGCGTAGGGACAAGTGAATTCATTGCACGCAATGGACATCTTAGGACAGCGGTTCTCACACCCGCATGGGCATCACCTGGAAATGTACCTGAAAGTTCAAATCCTTGCATCCCACCCCGGGCCCCTGAAACGAGAAACCCTGGGGAAGGGGCGTGGCAATCTGTTTCGTCAAGCCCTCTAGGGGTTCTGCTGTAAGCTGAAGCTTCAGAACCACTAGGAGCTGCAAAGCACCAGGGCTGAATTCTCTCACGGAAGAACCCAGGTTGGAAAAGGCTGTTCAGGACTTCAATATCCATATTCATATTGGTATCAATACCTATTGCCTGAAACTGAGATCTTTAAAAAAATTAAAAAAAAAAATATATATTGATTTTTAGAGAGAGAGGAACGAAGAGAGAGATAGAGAGAGATAGAAACATGAATGTAAAAAAGAAACATCTATCGGCTGCCTCCTGCACGCCCCCTACTGGGGATGGAGCCTGCAACCCGGGCATGTGCCCTGACCAGGAATTAAACTGGGACCTCTCAGTCCACGGGAGGATGCTCAATCCACTGAGCCACACCAGCTGGGTGAGATCCTTTTTTTTTTTTTAAAACGTAAGCGCTCCTAGATGGAAAAATGATTTGTCTCTCAGCTCACCGTGGAAGAGAGCTCTATCATTTCCCCCATTCATGAGGTTTATAAGCAATGTGTTCATTGCAGCGGAATTCACACTGTGCCTGGGGCCTGCTCCGGCCCACCACCAGGTTTAAAACCCCGCAGATACCCCTTTCTGAGCACCCCCACAGCGGGACAGAGCCTGGGGCAGAACTCCCAGCCCCACCCAAAACAAACCAAAAAAGTAATTTATTTAGTGTGCTGCAGGATTGGATCCGGAGTAGATGAGAAGTAACTTTAATATTTATCAATAAACAGGAAAGTGCTTAGCACACCTCCTAGAGAAAGCAATTAGCCATAAAAAGGATACTCTGCACAGAGGGATCCCCTCCAAAAAAAGAACTCGGTTAATTGTGAATTGCTTTTGCCAGGTGAGAGAATCCGTGTCTACATCTCACCTGACATAAGCAACTCTGAATTAACTGGGAGTTTCTTTTTATAAACATTGTGCAGAGCCTTTCTTTCTTTTTTTTTTTCTTGGTGGTTAATTACTTCCTTGGGAGGTTCACTTGAATAGTTCCCACAACAAGGACATTCTTGTCTTTAGCATAATCACTGCCTCATTGGCTTTTGGGGCCTGCCTGCCTGGCTCTCTGCCCCTGCCCGCCGGGGAGGGACCCTGACCTGTGCCCACTGGTTCTCTCCTGGTGGGAGCCTGGACCAGACGCAGGGCTGGTAGGGAGGGATGCAGGCCGCGCATGGCTTCCTTGGGAGACTGAGCCCCCTCCTCCCTGTGCAGCACCCCAGCTACTTGCTCAGTGAGCGGCTGTGACACCCACAACAGGGAAGGGAGCCGGACGGCAGCAGATTTTCCCCAGGAGGAAGGAGCGGATTTGTCAGCAACGGCGCGCTTAGGGAAACCACCACAAACCAGAAGCGGAAACGGGGAACCCTCCGGGGGAAAGGAGTGTAATGTTGACTCTCACCCTTGGAAAAAAGAGATGCAGTATGTAGTGATGTAGTTATGTCTCACCTCATTCAACGATGCAGTGCCTTCGACTCTGGCTGTTTCCAGAGGGCAAATGAGTGAACGGGAGCTCTGGGAGCCGCATCAGGTCTATAAACCTCCTCTGACTGGTGCACTCCTATCCGTATAGGCTCGGTGGGTTATTTACTACTTACATACACGCACAACTGCAATATTAGATCATGGAAACTGCACCATGTCTAGAAAGAGGATGAGGAAATATAAAAATAGAGCATCTTGCCCTGGCTGGTTTGGCTCAGCGGTGGGAGCGTGGGCCTGCGGACCAGAGAGTCCCAGGTTCGGTTCCCGCTAGGGGCATGTACAAAAATAAAAATAAAAATAGAGCATCTCACACTTTCAGTCACCCTTTGGATGGACTGCGCCCCACTCTGGACACCCCTGAAGCTGACCCCTTGGGCAGGGACTGACATCCCGAGCTCAGTGATCAGCACATGGCAGGATGAGACACACTTCTGTTACATCGTCTAATCGACGCATGAGTCCTCCTACATCCCGAAACATGCTGGGGGTGGATCCCACCCCTTGCTAACGCGCAGGGAACACGGCATGGTGTTCTTAGGAAATGAGGCGGCCCCTCCGCTGTCACAATCCTGTCTGCCCCCAGAACCTTAGCACTCCAGCAGCGAGTCACGGGGAGATTCAGCGCGGAGGGTGGAGCAGGGGTCGGCAAACTCTCCCTGCAGACGAACAGCCAGAGAGGAAAGTGTCTCAGGTGTTGTCAGCGGCCGTGTGGTCTCTGCCCAGTGACTGAACGCTGCCTTCCAGGGTGAAGGCAGCTACGGCCAACACAGAACTGAATAGGTGTGGCCGCGTTCCAATAAAACTTTACGGACACCGAAGTTGAATTTCCACATGCTCTTCACGTGTCGTGAACTTCTTTTCTAGATTGTTTCCCCCCAACCATGAAACATGGTAAAACCATGTTTAGCTCGCAGGCCCATACAAAAGCAGGCCAGTTTGACAGCCACGGGTGAGAACGTGGACTCTGGAGTCAGAGCTGGGTTTGGCCCCGATTTTACTCTTGGTGACCGAGTTCTCGTCTGTGAAATGACATCCCCTGGGGCCGCCTGAAGGAATGCATTGCTCACGACAGCTCACGGGGCACGCTGTGTCAGCAGCAGAACCCCCAGCCCTGAGCTCTGGCGGGGACAGTCACCCACAGGCAGAACCAGGGCCCAGCTACCTTTCTGTGTGACGCATGCTTGAGAATCCAAAGCCACATCAAGCCCCAGCCCCTGCAGCCCACGTCTTCAGGAGCCCCCGCTGGCCCCCGGTCGCTGCGTTTGCTTCAAAAGAAATGTTACAACATCTGACAATGGCATGGGGGAGATCTTTCAGGGAAAATGCCTCGTGAAGGCCATAGACGTGCGACGCTCTGTTCTGGAGGGGCTGGGAATTAGAAGACGCTTGCTCACCTCCCTCATTATCCTTGTTATCAGCGCAGGAGGTTTCCATGGCAACGTTGCATCCGGGCCCTCTCCAGCCGGTCTGGCAGACACACTGCCAGCTGTTCTGACCCAGGGTGCATCTCCCATTGCCGTTGCACAGATCGGGGCAGCCATCTGGTTGGAGAAACGGAGAGGATGAGAAAGAGGGGTGCGAGGCCACGCTGGGGCAGCAGGGGAGCCATGCAAAGGGACAGCAAGGTCACAGGCAGCCGCTGGGCCAGCCTCAGAGGGGGCTGTGCTTGCCTCGGAGAGTCAGGGCAGCAAGCAATGCATGCACTTGCAAGACCACGCGGGGTCCCAGATGCAGGGGATCCCCAAGGACACTGACCTGTGTGTAGGGGTCTGAGGCAACCTTCCCAGAGTGGGGGACATTCTGGAAAACTAAACTAGCTCTGAGCTTATAGCAGGACTATAGCTAGGCTCTTATTTCCAGCCACTGGCTCAGGACTAATGCTACCTCAAAAAAAAAAAAAATCTGTATTTTCTTTCTTTCTTTTTTTAGAAGTGTCTTCTGCAGAAGACAGAAAATTCCCTATCAACCCAGGATGGAGCCAAAGTGCCCTTCCATCTTTCAGAGTTTTGCAGATACACTTCTGTATGATTATCACGGGGTTCCTATGGCCAAGGACCGGATGGTTCTGCTGGGCTATTTTCACATTTTTGTAATATTTAGTTTTAAGGGGCACTTGAAAACGTCGGCTGCTTATCACTCCACCTGTGTATGGTGTGATTTCAAAACCCTGCGGATCCGACGGCTGCGGAAGGAGTGGGTGCTGAGAGCCATGGATTGGGAAGAGATAGAGGCATGTACGTGTACCTGGGGGAAGGCTGTGGGGTTCATGTAATTCTTACTTTGTAGTTTTCTTTTTTTTAATGGGGGGGGCGGGGTATGTGTGAAATCAGCAGCCCACGGAATTCCCTGATCCCTCAGTACCCAGAGCAAACACTCAGCACTCCTGACCTGAGCCTACTCAGACAGAGCCGGAGGAGGGGAGGCGGGTGGGGGTGCTCCAGGGGGGGAAGGGGTGGGGGTGCTCCAGAGAGAAGGGAAGTTGCCCTTTATGAGATGTAGAGAGACGCACAGAGTTGGTAGGATGTGACCGCACTCATAAAAGCTACTGGCTGGCAAGAATTTCTAGATAGGCTGTTTAAAATTTTTTTTTTCCCTTTCTTTTAGCAGCTTTATTGAGGCATAATTTCCATACCATAAAATGTACCTGCTTTAAGTGTACCACTCAATGACTTCTAGTAAGTTTAGAGAGTCGTGCAATGTGGGTACGTTTTCTCATTTCACGGTGTAACCCAAATGACCCGATTTCACTGTCCCCAGAACGTTAGCTTCCGGCACATCTCTGACTCTCTGATTCTACCTCAGCATCTGACACCATCTCTGTCTCCATCTCTTTCTTTCTCTTTTTCAAATCTTTTTTTATTTTATTATTTTTTAGTATTGAAAGTATTACAGATGTCCCGCCCTTTATTCCCCACTGACCCCCTCCTCCCTGCTCCCACCCCCTCAGCGTCCCCCAAACTATTGTCTGTGTCCATTGGTTGTGCCTACATACAGATAAGCTCTTTGGTTCTCTCTTTTTAAAATCTCCTTTTAAACCACACACAGTGCAGGGTGGATTGGGCCATGGCAGAGAGATGGGCTTTGTAATGATGGAGATAATGGATCTGAACCCTTTCTGGCCCAAACCATCTGAACCCGAAGCCTCCCCTGGCATTCCCTCTCTCTCCTCGCGAGTCCCCTACATGACGATGCCAGCACAACGCAAGGGGGCACGCGGCAGTGGTGGGAATGTGCAGAACTCCTCCTCCGAAGGAAGGTCTGGAGGGTCTGAAGTGGACTTGAAATTCACTTCTTTAAGAAGTTTCACTCCTCAGAGCCTTTTCGTTCCCATCCTTTCCCCACGGAGCCTGGGTCAGGACCTGCGACAGCAGAGTAAGCGACAGCGGAGAAGCTCCGTGTGGGGAAGTCCCCGCGGGGAAGCTGTGCTTGTCTATAGCAGGGAAACAAGGTCCCAGGGAATCTGTTTTCTTTGGCTGCCCCACCTGCGTGGAATCCGGGATGCGCACGGTACTGTGTCTGCACAACCCTCGCAAAGCCCAGCTTCTCGTTTCCATTTCTTTCCTCACCACCGAGGTGGCTGGCCCTGCCCGAACCGCAGTGACATCCTCCCTGTTCACATTGTGACACTGCTGGGAGGGGAAGCCAACCCCAGGTTCAGAGAGATGACAGACATTTCTGCAGGAGCAAAATGGAACTCGGGGGGCAGGGGGGAGACCAAGGGACATTCCACAGGTTCTCAAGGAAAAGAGAGTACGGCTGACCTCTGCCACCCCTGACTTTACAATTTCTACCAGTCGAGTTTTGGGGAACGGGCCTCCGAGAGGACACTAAATGACAGACCCACCTACATGAGCTCAGCGTGCCATCCACTTCTTGTTATTTAGCTACTTTGAGGTCTCGTGTGGGACTAAAATCATGCCCAAAGTCTCGAGAGCAGCCTCATTGGGTAGGAGACCCACACCCACTATGTAAAACCAAAATTTGCAAAGAACACTGGCATGCCAGTCAGAGATAGGCACTCAGAACATGCATGCTCCTAGCTGGGATGAGGCTTTTCCCCCCTGTCTCTTTCTTGATTTTTTTTCCCTTCCCGACCAACTGAAGTGAGATAAACAGACCACAGTAGCGGGTTTTCTCCACATCATCTGAGGAAGATGAAAACACGAACAGTGGGAAGCTGGCAAATCTCTGAGAAGTTTCGGGGCAGCTGGGAATTAATGGACAGGACTTTGCTTTTAGCTTGAAGAGGAAGAAAGCAGCCTTGGTAGGTGCGTGGTGTTGCTAGGCAACCCCAGGCTACCCCCAGCACAAGTTCATTCTGCTGGTGGCCTTCTGAGGATGCCGCCGTTGCATTGTGTCTTTAAAGTGCAAAGCCAGCTTCTGCTTAAGGAAAAACAAATGTAGGGAGCAATTAGTCTGGAGGGCAAACGGGTATGGGAAGGAAGGCGGATGGCGGCTTTTCTCTGGAGAGGATCCTATCATGGGAGCTGGATTGGGCTTATGGGCTCATATCTGGGGATCCAAGAGGGCTCCTGTAGGAGACTGGATTTCAGGCGGGCTTTGCTGACTCCCCGAGCGCCGAGCTCCAAGACCGTGATGCAGACAGAATGCCTTAGGGCACAGGTGTTTGGTTCTTTGTCCAGCTGGAGAGCTGGCTGTCTGGAGGCTCCATCTATCATGAGCTTAGACCAATAATTCTCAACAGAGGCAACTTTGCCCCCCATCGTTCCCTCCAGGGGGCATTTGGGAATGTCTGGAAACATTTCTGATGATCACAATTTGGGGAGGATGCTGCTGCTCAACATCCTACGTTGCAGAGGTGAGTTTCCATAACAAAGACAGATCCAGCCCCAGGTGTCAATGGTGCTGAGGTTGAGAAGCCCTGCCCAGACCTGAAACTCCATGAGGCCCGAGACTTCCTTGTTTGCTGAAGGATCCGGGGCCTCGCCTCATGTCAAGCACGTAGTAGGTGCTCGAATGAATGGGAAGCGATCAGTAGTGCTAGATGATTGCAGCCTGGCCCTTATCTATAGACCCTCTTGAGAGTCCCGAGAAGACCGGACTCCTCAAAGGTAAGTCCCCCTCCCGGGGAGAACTTTCAAGGGCATCCGTGATATCGTGGGCTGGCTCTATCACACTTCCAATGCCTCTGGCAGAGCAGATATAGAACAGTGTTCAAGACTTTCTACATACAAAATTCCAACCACTAGGAAAGAAAATCCATGGGCACAGTTACCAGGTAGGCAGGCTTCTGCCTTAACAAAAATGAGAGTTGCTGCAGAAGTTTGAGAACAAAAACAAACCAATGCAAACACACCCTTATATTCAGACGACTCCTCAATTTTCAACTCCAAGCCTGGACTCCAGCCTGCACCTCGACATCTCGACATCTCCATCTGTTCGCTCACTAGCACCTCAAACGCAACAGGATTCAGCCTCTTTGTCCTCCTCCCCGCCCCGAACACTGAGCAATGAATGGCACCTCTAAGTACCCCACTGGCCAAGACTGAGACCTGGAGTTGTTCTCAACTACCATCCCCCACCCACTCAGCTCTCTTCTCTCTCGTATCTAGTCAACAACCAAGTCTTGCCTGATCTTCCTCTTAGCTATAACAAGTCCTACCTGTCCTTCCTCCTGAATGTTTCTGGAACCTGCCCTCTACCCCCACCTGTACTGCTGCCATGCTAACCCAAGCCATGCTCATCATTGCTCTGGACCCTTGTCAAACCTCCCGCCTCTAGTCTTGTACCATGATCCATTTCTCTCTATTCGCTTGTTCTTTTTTGTTATACCTCACCAGAGGATGCATTTTTGCATTGATGTTTAGATAGAGTGGAAGGGAGGGAAGGAGAGAGAGAGAAACTGATGTGAGGGGGACACATTGATTGGCTGCCTCCTGCACAACCCCGACGGGAGCCAGGGATCAAACCTGTAACGCAGGTATGTGCCCCTGACCGGGAATTGAACCTGCGACAATTCGGTCCCAGGGCCGACATTCTAACCACCGAGCCAAACAGTCCACTTCGCTCTATTCTTGACACCGCTGAACACATTCTGCAGCTTTCCACTGACCCCAGGGGGAAGTCCGAAGTCCTGAACCTACCTTACAGATCTTATGTGACCTGGTTCTCACCATGTCAGCCTATCTCAATACGCATTTAGGCTCCAGTCAGATGGCAGCCATTGGGCTAATTTCTTTGTTTTCTTTTCTCATCTGCCTAACCTCATCCCATCCTTCTGATTCCCACTCAGAACTCCTCTCCAGGAAGTCTTTCCAAAGCTCTCAAATCCGGGCCAGCTACCCCTGTCGTGGCACCTTTACTCCAGCCTATGTATCCTAGGTACCACACTGGAGCACACGGGTCTGGGCACCTCCCCGATACTGGCTTCCCTGTGCAGCGGCCCTTCCTTGAGACATTTTACCGCCATCTGCTGGCAGATTGTTGTATTAAATGTTCGCACCATCATGAACTACAATTTGAAGGGTGTCCCTAGAACTGTGCTGTGTACCAGACAGGCCCCCTGGGCACCCTGCTGTGA